GAGGTGCCCCGCCGCAGTGGGGTTGGTGGCTCTCGGGGCTGGGGCTTCGCGGGGAGGAACACGTTTATGAAAATGCCTCGTTTTTCAGTGGAGGGAGGCAGCTGACATGCCGGTTTGGACCAGCCCTGGCAGATTGTCCTTTCCCTCTCCTGCTTTTGAGCTCGGGTGCAGGCTGAGCGGACGTGCTGGCATCCCGACACGCCTGGCACCGATGGGTTGAGATGGCCATAGGTGCAAGAGCAGCTCCCTGGGGAGTTGGGGCCACGGGAGCGGAGCACCCACCTCTCCCTGCATGTCCCTCCTCGGCAGGGTGATGCGAGAAGGAGCCCGGCATGCCGTACTTGGATCGACAGAACCGTATCTGCGGGTTCCTGGACATCGAAGAAAATGAGACCTGCGGCAAGTTTCTGCGGAGGTATTTCATCCTGGACACCCAGGCCAACTGCCTCCTGTGGTACATGGACAACCCTCAGGTAGGCTCCTGCACTGGTCCCAGCTTCACACCGGGCACATCCGTGGAAGTTGTTAGCGAGATTTTAGGCACGTCCTGACCTTCCCGCTGGGCTGCAGTTATGGAGGCATCTCCTCTGGGTCTCCAAAGGAGGATGTTGTCTGTCAGGGTGAGTGTGGCCATGACCAAGCTCCAGGAGAGCAGCCCCCTGTGATTTCTGTAGTTTCCAGGACTGGCCCAGCAGCAGCTTACACCGCCACGAGCCATTGACACCTTGGGGGAACCTATAGCAATGCCGTGCCAATGTGAGCTGTTACATCTCCCTTGTGTCTTGGTGTAGAGACAGAGATAACAAGAAAGAGAAGAGGTTATCTGAGAAATATTTGTCATCTTGGAAGTGGTGTCAGGCAGCAAAAGCACTTAGACCAGGAGTTGGGCGGTTGGGGGAGATGGAGTCTGCGCGTGTTGTGCCCGATGTTTCGGGGAGCTGCCCCAGCCCTTGCGGTCAAGCTCAAAAGAGCAAGAGCCAAAGCTGAGCTCTAGGAAGACCCTCCTGGAAACCCCACGGTGCTTGAGCACTGCTTGTAGGCTGGGGAAGGCACCTGCCTTCCTGAAGAGCATCTTGCACCAGATTCTCCATTGCCATGTTAAAAGGGGAAGGGGAAGCACCTGCCTGCCCGTAGCCTCCTGGCCAGTGTTAGCCCCAACTCCGGCTCTCTGGGCCATGCAGGGGGAGGAGTCGGAGCCTGTCTTGCACCTGAGATGCGGCTGCACGGGGTGGTGAGCGGGACAGGCAGTTTGGAGCGGGACCACGGAGGGCATGGTGCTGGGGTGCAGCGCGGCGTGGCCGGTCCCAGCTGCGTGTAGGGTGCGAGATGAACCAGGTGCAGAGAGAAGGGAAGCGGCCGAGGCCGGTGGCGGGGCTGTAGCTTTTGCTGCCTGACCCCAATGACACTGGATGACAGCCTGACTCGCCTCTTTTGTGTTCTCCCTCTCATTTAACCCCCATTGCTCGTTAAATGTTTTGCAGAACCTGGCCATCGGTGCGGGTGCTGTCGGATCTCTGCAGCTGACCTATATCTCCAAGGTAATGTCGGGGTGGGGTGGAGGGAAAATGAATGTTCCCTGCCGTCCCCGTATCCGTGTGGCTTTCCCGGGAGAGGCGATGGCTCATCCTGGCAGCACCGGAGGCAAGATCCTGTCCTAGCCCACACCATCCTCCCTGGGACAGGAGCCTGAGTGGGTCTGTGGGAAGAGGGGAGCATCCCTTCACCCACGAACCGGGGCAGGCGGCGAGGTTGGGGCACGGGAGGAAGAGGAACTGCTCTGCCATGAGGAAGAACACAGGGCGGCAGGGGCTGAGCAGGGACGGGAGCACAGGGGTGGTGTGAGCTGGTTGTGGAGCTGGCAGTCAGCACGGTGTTGCTGCTCTGGCACCGGACCGAGCTGGCGTTTGCGCTCGTACCTTGGTACCCCTCTCGCTTTGGTACTCAGTCCCCATCACCCCGGTGCGGTGCCTCCCACTGCTGGTCCCGCTGCGGCCCGAGGTCCGTGGGAGGGTGCTCATCAGACCCAACAAAAGTGGGGACGTAGAGATGGTCCCAGGGTCCCTTTTGTGATGGATTCGGAGGCACCAGTTGCTCTCCCCTGTGCTTAGACAGCAGCACCCTGAAGGATGAGACCTTCTGGAAGCTTGGTCTTAACGGCATTACCCGGCTTCCACGGGAAGGTGAAAATAGTGCACTAAATGACAACTGTTGCAGGGCTGGTGACTGGAACGTGTGGAGCCGTGGCTGCGGAAAGCGGAGCTGCCACCGTCCTTCTCCCGCTGCTGGGGGG